ACAGTCACCATCACTACAATAGAGGACGCTTCGTATGAACAATTAATGACGTCATCACAGATCAATGGCGTCATCACAGATCAATGACGTCATAACCTCTGTTTACACTCTATATAAACAGCCACAGTAGACGGGAATGCTCAGTCACCTCACAACTCATCGTGTAGAGTAGACCACCTGATGCTGTTTCCCTCCTCTGTTAACTATACCTCCAAAACTATACAAAAAAAAGGATTAATAAAAAATAATAATTATATATTTTGCCCATTAATGATCATAAAGACGCATGATTGGTAATTGGGATTATATATGTGAAAGGTCATATATGTGAGAGGTCATATATGTGAAAGGTCATATATGTGAGAGGTCATATATGTGAGAGGTTATATATGTGAGAGGTCATATATGTGGGAGGTCATATATGTGGGAGGTCATATATGTGAGAGGTCATATATGTGAGAGGTCATATATGTGAGGGGTCATATCTGTAAGGGGTTATATAAGGGCCTATATGGGCAATAAGTATCTGTAAGGGTCAGTATATGGTAAATGTATGTGGAAACAGTATATGTGAGGGGTCATATCTGTAAGGGGTTATATATATATAAAAAGTCATATATAAATAAACTGTGTTATTAATCCGCTTATATTAATTGGTTACAGCAAAATATATTTACAAAGTGTTTATATATTATATTTTTTTAATTAGTGGATCATATATTACAGGTATAGTCAGGTAATCCCTCACACACCTTAATTAAACACCTATTTATGTCACCTGTACATTAGCACACCTGTCGGCCATCAAAGGTAACATCACTACAGGTGTAAAATATAGCAGACTTGATTCATTAAGCTCAAACTTAATCCTAAGCTTTATTTTAATAAGCTTTCTAGTGATTTGGTGTGTGGGGTGCATGAGATCTAATCCTAAGCTTTATTTCACTAAGCTTTCTGGTGATTTGGTGTGTGGGGTGCATGAGATCTAATACTAAGCTATATTTAACTAAGCTTTCTGGTGAGCTATGGTGTGTGGGGTGCATGAGATCTAATCCTAAGCTTTATTTCACTAAGCTTTCTGGTGATTTGGTGTGTGGGGTACCTGAGATCTAATACTAAGGTTTATTTCACTAAGCTTTCTGGTGAGCAATGGTGTGTGGGGTGCATGAGATCTAATCCTAAGCTTTATTTCACTAAGCTGTCTCGTTTAGTTAGAGAAGTGAGACGTATTATCATCTACTCAGAGATATGAATTAGTGTGTGTGTGTGTGTGTGTGCGTGTGTAGTGACTTATAATACGCGGTTAGAGACTTTAGTTGTTGAAGCGTAGGAATACATTATGCTATCCTAATTACCTATCCTATCCTATCCTAACCTAACCTAACCTGATCTATCCTATCCTATCCTATCCTTTCCTAACAAATCTCTAGTAAACAAGACTAAAAGTAAACAGGGCTAAGAATAAACAAGATCTCTCTCCTTCATAAGCAAATTCTAAACCACTCCAAGTCCTTGATCTCAACCCCTTAAAGTCTCCCTCTGAGGTTGTTTGCTTAATTACAGTTGTTTACTTAATAACAGACTAACATAACAACTCTGTATTGATTCACAACCCGGGGATAACAGATTATGTTGTAAGGTGTGTGATGGTTGTGAGAAGAGGTGGGTTGGTGGGTGGGGGGGAAAGGAGGGGTGGGGCAGGGCAGAGGTGGGGTGGGGTGGGGTGGGTGTGGGGTGGGGTGGGGTGGTGGGGTGGGTGGGTGGGCGGGTGGGTGGGGTGGAGGGATGTTGGTTGGTTCAAGGTGAAGTAGTGAGGGAGGGAGGAGGGAGGGAGGGGGAGGGAGGAGGGAGTGAGGAGGGAGGGAGTGGAGGACTGAGGGAGAAAGAGGAGGAAGGAGGAGGGAGCGAGGGAGTAAGGGAGAGAGGAGGGAGGGAGAGAGTGAGGGAGGGAGGGAGGGAGGGAGGGAGTGAGGGAGGGAGGGACGTGTAGACTGGCCCTCAAGTGTCACTATATATATATCTAAATTTACCTCTGGATTAAGACAGATGCTTACCTGTGTGTGTGTGTGTGTGTGTGTGTGTGTGTTTATATATGAACTACCAACACAACACAACACAACACAACACAACACAACACAACACAACACATATTCTTACAGTATATAAAGGCATACATGTCAGTGTGTTCGTCTGTCCCTGCTGCCACCACCATCATCATCACGGGGTAGAGACAGACAATGAGAGTGACAAACAGATCCAAACTCCACAGGGAAGGAGTTTAATCATACCGATAATGATCCACGACCTCCCACGACCCTCCCAGACCCCCCCACGACCCTCCCAGACCCTCCCACGACCCTCCCACGACCCTACTAGAGATTGCCAAACCCTTCTCTTCATTTTGCAGGGCTGCCAACCATTCCAGAAATAATACCATACGGAAATACACACCAAATATACACACAGGGATATACACAGGGTCTCAAAAGCTTTAGAAATACGTGGGTAGTGATCGTAGAGGTTTGTTATACAGGATGATGAAGGTATTTATCGGGTGAATAAGTTGGGAGAAGGAGGTTGAGAGTTGAGTTGTTATTGTGAAGGGTTGGCAACACTGTGGGAGGTCCTTATGGAGGAAGAGAATGGCAACACACCGAGGCTGAGAGAGAGAGAGAGAGAGAGAGAGAGAGAGAGAGACTGTGACTGGCTCCCCCAAATGGTTCCAGCAACTCGTATCAACCAGAGGCCAAACTATATTCAACTTTTCTCCTTTAGAATGCCGAGTAAAAGAGACTTACTTAAGGAAACCAACTTAATACTTGAAAAGGAAAATTGTATCGCCTTCCACTTATGAATGAAGCTTATGTAAACAACTTCTTGATTTCAATTGAGAGTGAGAGCTTTTCAACGTGTGTGTGTGTGTATGTGTGTGTGTGTGTGTGTGTGTGTGTGTGTGTGTTGTGTGTGTACAGGACCACTACTCACACTATGGTTCTCCTCCAGCAGTGGCAGAAGGGACCAGGTCAACACAGGGCCCCACCTTCACCTGGGAGCCGCCACGACACCTCCACTTCACCAACACCAGCGGCGCCTCCGTCAACTGTGTGGCTGAGGGTGTGCCTGTCCCTACCGTGTCCTGGAGCTACCAAGATGGTCGACCTCTAGACCAGGTGAATCTCTCTACCTCTACCTCTACCTCTACCTCTCTACATATCTATCTGTCTGTCTGTCTCTCAGTCTCTCATTTATCATAGTTATCCCTCTCGATAAAACAACAGAAAACGTAAACTAGGTGAAAATAACATCACTGGAACTCCTATCTTAGTATAACATAACTTAACATCTTTATAAAAGTAGTCAATCATTTAATATCGTCACTCTTCACTTTGTTGACTAAAATAAAGTTAAATCCTTTTGTCTTTAACGCATCTATACCAACTCCATCTTGTTTCCTTGACTTTGAAGAATATTAAACATGTTTCATATTTCCTCAGCAGCATTACCATATCTTATCAGTCATGAGCTATGTGGTAAAATTTCCTTCCATCACAAAGTTTATGTTAAAATATTCTTGTAAATGTGTAAACAGACTTAAAATCTTATTCGTGTAAAAGTTTTCTTATTTCACGACAAACTAGTTACCTTGACAGGGTAGGGTAGGGTAGGGTAGGGTAGGGTAGGGTAAGGGGTAGTAGGGTAGGGTAGGTGGTAGGGTTGAAGTTTAGCCACCACTTTCCTTCATTCTTTCTCCACCTTGTTCTCCCTCTCTCCTTACTCCTCCTTCACTCTTCCCTATTCTCCCTCTCACTCTCCCTGTCCCTCCCTCCCTCTCCCCCACTCTCCCCCCTCTCCCCCACTCCCTCCCTCTCCCTCGGTTCAGACGTGTCTAGTATAATTACTTTATGCCGAAAATAACACTGGTGGGAGAGGTTCTATGTTGGGAGGGGCTCTATGTGAGAGCTCTAATGGTGTGTGAGAGAGCTCTAATGGTGTGTGAGAGAGCTCTAATGGTGTGTGAGAGAGCTCTAATGGTGTGTGAGAGAGCTCTAATGGTGGGTGAGAGCTCTAATAGGGTGAGAGAAACCTCTAATGGTGTGTGAAAGAGCTCTAATGGAAACTGAGAGAGCTCTAAAAAGTATGCAAAGCTCTAAACAGCTCTAAGTGACCATAGACTATATATATATTAAATTAATGGCCGCATTTCCTAAAGGCGGAAACAGTCTATTAATGGTCGTGGTTAAAGGTGGGGTTATTTAACAGACCTGAGTTAATTATCAGGGGTTATTTAACAGACCTGAGTTAATTATCAGGGGTTATTTAACAGACCTGAGTTAATTATCAGAGGTTATTTAACAGACCTGAGTTAATTATCAGGGGTAATTTAACAGACCTGAGTTAATTATCAGGGGTTATTTAACAGACCTGAGTTAATTATCAGGGGTAATTTCATGCTGGGGTAATTTACAGTTAATTAATTTATTAAAACTGATTTATTATTAATTATAATTCATTCTTAACTAAATACCATTTAATCGTATATATTATAATTTTTAATAATCTTTCAGGCATTTTTTACCTCAGTTTCCAATTATTATTTTTCTCATTTATTCTTTTCATTCAAGATTCAATTTCCTTTTGTTGTTTTTTTACGTTCATTTTTTTATTCTGGATTAATTCTATTATTTTATTTATTATGTCGAATTTTATTTATTTCTTCTGCTTCGTTTGGTTAGGTTAGGTTAGGGAGGCATAGAGACGTGGGTGAGAGGTGAGGTAGGGTGGGGAGGGAGGGTGAGGGACGGTGGGGGTGTGGGGAGGGTGAGGGACGGTGGGGGTGTGGGGAGGCTGAGATGGAAAGGTGTCTCAAGGTGTGTCATAATGTGTGTCATAAGGTGTGTCATAAGGTGTGTCATAGGTGTGTCATAAGGTGTCATCATGTGTCACAGATGGAGGGTGTGCGTCAGGTGCTGGACAACGGGACGCTGGTGTTCCGCCCTTCCCCGCCCACCACTACCACAGTCACGTACACGCCGCCACGTACACCTGCACGGCGTCTCCCGGGGCGTCTTGCTGGCCACGCCCATGATCGTCCGTGCTGGTACGTGATTATGCTTATTGTATCTCTCTGTCAGTGTGTGTACGTGCTGGTCCGTGTTGGTATGAGATTATGCTTATATCTCTGTCATTCTTAGTACGTGATTGTTCTTATTTATATTATGTTTTATTAGTCGTAATCCGTGTTTGTCCGTGATGGTACCGTACGTGATTTTACTAATTACTTCCGTAACACAAAGGAGTGTTCGTTACAAGACTAGCGAGGTCACCCTAAAGCTATATCTTGCGCTTGTGAGACCTCACTTGGATTACGCAGTTCAGTTCTGGTCACCGTACTACAGAATGGATATAGAATCCTTGGAAAGAATTCAGAGGAGAATGACAAGACTAATCCAGGGCATTTGGAACCTTGAGTACAGAGACAGGTTAAAGCATCTTAATTTGCACTCCCTCGAGAGACGTAGAGTGAGGGCGACCTGATAGAGGTGTATAAATGGAAGTCAGGGCTAAACAAAGGTGACATTACAAAGGTACTCAAACAATCCAACCAAGAAAGAACTCGTAACAATGGTTTTAAGTGAGACACATTTCGATTTAGGAGCGAGATAGGTAAACATTGGTTTGGAAATAGAGTAGTGGACGAGTGGAACAAGTTACCAAATATCATCATTAACTCGAATACCCTGGATAGCTTCAAACACAGGTTGGATGGATATATGACCAATAGGGGTTGGGTGTAAATGAGACTGCTTAGTATGGGCCAATAGACCTGCTGTAATTTCCTCCATTTTTGTGTTCTTATATTAGCAGTTACACACTTCACAAAATCAACCTCGTATACACATAACTCACTTAACGTAACATGACCCAACGTAACGTAACCCTATCTTAAATGACTTGTAAGCACGACCCGTATCACCATCTAGAAATAATAATAGCATTGTAGCCCCTGAGTCAATGTAAACAGATAATGGCGGACCTCTCGAAACACCACCCATCGGTTATGTCTTAAACTATAGACATAACAAGACATTTTTCTAGTCCTTGGGCGCTAAGATCAAGTTTTGTTCTGGTATTTAATTTTTAATACGAGTGTTGTTCTTCTCGGTGCGTTCTAGCGGTATACCAAAGTGATTTAATACTATTGGTGCGTTCTAGCGGAATATCAATACAATTTAATACTATTGGTGCATTCTAGCGGCAAACAGACGTCAATAAATATCATATAATTTACTTCATCACTACTTATCAAACTTACTCGTTGTTCTGTGTTGCTTATGATACGACTTTACTTATTAGTCAATCTTTAAAAAATCAAATCTTGTTGGGTGAGCGGTGGTGCCACATCTCACAAAACACGTCATTTGTACCAGTTATTAATGGAGGTAACTGTACCGTGTGTATTATTTTTGTCATTATATTTTTTTTAACATTGAGCTCGGATTGATGTTGTTAATATGAGCTCGTTTATATATTTCATTTTGTGGTATTTTATTTATTTGTTTATTCTTTACCCCCAAGGGATAGACTGCATGAATTCTTTTATTTTAACTAAAGTTGGAAAAAATATTATCAATTGGCCAATTAACTGAGTTCTCTCCACTTTTAGGCGTCGCTAACAACCAATACAATCCGTAGAAGGTGATTGGTTGTTGGTTGATAAAGTCTTGTTGCCATATCGATAATTCACCATAAAAGTATCCCTTATCAAATGGCTGAGAGAATTAAATGACGGCTATTATAATGTTTACCACCATGCCTCCATAGCAACCAACAACCAATCAGCTTTCATGAATTGTAATGGTTTATATGGACGCAAAAAGTGGGTAGAGCTTAGTCGAAAGGTCAATTGCCCCGGTAAATAATTAAGTAGAAATAATTGTTGTCAGGATTATTATCATTATTATTATTGAAAATTATGAATTCATTATTGTGTGTGTGTGTGTGTGTGTGTGTGTGTGTGTGTGTGTGTATGTGTTAACATACGAGTATCTTACATATACTTTTACAGGTGTTGGTTTAGTTTACAGGTGTGTACTAACAGGTGTGTGGTGTTGTTTACAGGTGTGTGTACTAAGAGATGAGGTGGTGTACTAACAGGTGTGTACTAACAGGTGTGTACTAACAGGTGTGTGGTGTCGTTTACAGTGGTGGTGGGAGAGTACGAGGTACAGGTGTACGACCAACTGGTAATGTCAGGTAACACAGCTGTACTCAGGTGTGCTGTTCCTTCCTACGTCAGAGAATACGTGACTGTCACCTCCTGGCTCCATGACGACGCCTTCAACATCTACCCGTCCCTCCACGGTGGTGAGTAGTCTGTCTATCTGTCTGTCTGTCTGTCTGTCTGTCTGTCTGTCTGTCTGTCTGTCTGTCTGTGCATGTTTTTCCCTCTATCTGCATGTTAAAGACTCTCTCTCTCTCTCTCTCTCTCTCTCACCATAACAAAAGGTAAGATAGGAAACACTGGGGAGAAAATGATGCCAGAAATACTTCCTTTGATGTTTCATTTTTACGTCATTAGGGAAATTTTTAGGGAAATATTCTATCCCTCTATGTTTGGAGTAATTGTTTTAGGGAAAATTCTATACTGGGGAAAATTTTGTGTTGGGGAAAATTCTGTGTTCTGGGGAAATAAATAAAAACAAACGTTTTTTTTTACCCTCTAGGGAAATTTCAGTTCCCTGGGGAAGACTAATTTCCCCGACAGAATAAAAAACTGTTGGTTCATTTCTCCCTGTGTGTGTTGAGGAATTATATTGTTGGAGAGAGGTGAGGGAGAGGGAGGGAGGGAGGAGAGAGGGAGGGAGGGAGGGAGGAGGGAGGGAGGGGAGGGAGAGGGAGGGAGGGAGGGAGGAGGAGGGAGGGAGGGAGGAGGGAGGAGGAGGGAGGGAGGGAGGGAGGAGGGAGGGAGGAGGGAGGGAGGAGGGAGGGAGGAGGAGGAGGAGGAGGAGGAGGAGAAGTAGAGGGGGAGAGAAGATGGAGGAAGGTAGGGTGGAGGAGAGAAGAGATAAAAAGAAAAAAAAAGAGGAAAGTTGAGAGGGATAGAGGGTAAAGGGAATTAAGGAAGAGACAGAAGGCTTTTGTCAGATCCTATGCATACATACATACATACATACATACATACACACATACATTTTCTCTCTTTCCATCTGTCTGTCTGTCTGTCTATCTGTCTCTCTCCCTATCTCTCCCCTTCCCCTCTCTGTCTACCCCCACACACACACACACACACACACACACACACACACACACACACACACACACATAGTCTCAGCCAGTCCCTACATGATCAGTGTTTGATGGCCGCGTTCATTTAATTATTCTTGTTTTTCTGTGTGTTTTCTTTTGTGTTCCTTGTGTTGGTTTATATGAGAGGGTTTAGTGTGTGTGTGTGTGTGTGTGTGTGTGTGTGTGTGTGTGTGTGTGTGTGTGTGTGTGTGTGTTATAATCAAACATTTCATTAATTTACCAACGCTAAGCCAAGCCAAGCAAGCCAGACTACCCAATGCCAGGCTATACAACGCCAGGCTACATATCGCCACCCAACGCCAGGCTACATATCGCCACCCAACGCCAGGCTACATATCGCCCCAACGCCAGGCCATATCGCCACCCAACGCCAGGCTACATATCGCCCCAACGCCAGGCTACATATCGCCACCCAACGCCAGGCTATACAACGCCAGGCTACATATCGCCACCCAACGCCAGGCTACATATCGCCACCCAACGCCAGGCTACATATCGCCACCCAACAGCCATATATACCAACGCCAGGCTACATATCGCCACCCAACGCCAGGCTATACAACGCCAGGCTACATATCGCCACCCAACGCCAGGCTACATATATATCACACCCAACAGGCTGCATATAGCCACCCAACGCCAGGTACATATCGCCACCCAACGCCAGGCTACATATCGCCACCCAACGCCAGGCTACATATCGCCACCCAACGCCAGCTACATATCGCCACCCAACGCCAGGCTACACAATTCCATTTCGCTTCACAGACAAAAAAATAAAAACAATATGATTTACAATTTTTATGGATGTTTTCTTTTGTGTGACAGAAAGTAGCATCCCAACAACAACAACAACAACAACAACAACAACAACAATAATAAAAAAAATATTCACAACAACAACAAAATTAATTACTTACTAGACACAAAAAACAAAATAAAATAAAATATGTTAATTAATATTCCCTTACTTATTAACAAACCTACACACACAAACACACACACAAACACACACACAAACCCACACACACACAAACCCACACACACAAACAAACACAAACACACACACAAGCACACACACAAACACACACACAAACACACACACAAACAAATGAATCATGTACATTAATCCACTTACATAACCTACATACATTAAACTATACATTTATGAATACACACAAAGCATTAAAACAGTCATACATACAACATGAATACACACATGAATACACACATGAATACACACATGAATACACACATGAATACACACATGAATACACACATGAATAAACACACAAATACACACACAAATACACACACAAATACACACACAAATACACACACAAATACACACATGAATACACACACAAATACACACACAAATACACACACAAATAGACACACAAATACGCACATGAATACACACATGAATACACACATGAATACACACACGCGGCAAAATATTTCATACATATTTAGTCAGAAATTTCTATATGAATTTAATAGAAAAATTGTGCTTGAATTTTTTTACGGTAATTACAGACATAATGATGAGTTAATAAAAGAATCTCTCTCTCTCTCTCTCTCTCTCTCTCTCTCTCCTTCTTCTCTCTCTCTCTCTCTCTTTCTCTCTCTCTCCTTCTCTCTCTCTCTCTCTCTCTCCTTCTCTCTCTCTCTCCTTCTCTCTCTCTCCTTCTCTCTCTCTCTCTCTCTCTCTCTCTTGTATAGGTGTAGGTACAGGTGAGTTTACAGGTGTAGGTACAGGTGTGTTTACAGGTGTAGGTACATGTGTGTTTATCAGTATATTAGCATGAATCTATCTATCTATCTATCTATCTATCTATCTATCTATCTATCTATCAACCAACCTTTAACGCTTTATTCCAATACAAAATAAGGTATCAACATTTTTTTTCCCAGGATTATGGACTATCATCCCCGATTCATTCCCCCATTTGGCAATTTTCTTCAATTTTCTAACTCATATCTATTCATCCCCTCTCTCTTTCTCTCTCTCTCTCACAGTTTTTCTCTACTTTATTGGTCTCTCTCCCTCTTCTCTCTCTCTCCCTCCCTCTTCTCTTTCACTGTTGTATTTCCTTCAGTAGCCTATCATTTATTTTTTCTCCCAGGATGCTCACCGCCCGAGTAACTCTCCCAAGGCGGGAAAGTTGGCGCCATCTCTATTGTTTATTTTTTGTCAACAAGTTCTCGGCGTTTGTCATTTGTTTTTATTTTGTCTTTTGTTATTCTCTTTCTCTTCCTTCCTTACTTCCTTCCTTCCTTCCTTCCTTCCTTCCTCTGTTCTTTTGTTTTGGGGCTTTGTTTACTTTTTGTTAATTATTGTTCGGTGTTTATCGTGTGTGTGTCTGTGTGTGTGTGTGTGCGTGTATGTGTGTGTGCGTGTATGTGTGTGTGTGTGTGTGTGTGTGTGTGTGTGTGTGCATCTACCACCCTTGAAATTCCTAGTACTGTTCTCTCTCTCTCTATCTTTCCCTCTCTCTCACCGTCCCTCCATCAGGCCGTCTCTTCACCAGGCTCAGGTGTGAAGGACCTCACCATCTCTTTGTTTACATCTACTGCAGGAAGTTCCTCTCGGGGTACCTTGTACTTCCTCTTCCTCTCTTACTGCCTCTCTTATCCCTCCTCTTTCGCCCTACTCTTCCTCCTCCTCTTTCCTCTCTTACTCCTCTTCTCCCTCCTCCTCCTCCTCCTCCTCTTCCACTGATACTCCTTCCTTCCTCCTCCCTCTCCTCCTGTTACTCCTATTCTTCTTATTCCTCTTCCTCTTTTACTCCTTCCTCACTCCCTTTACTCCTTCTTCTTCTCCTTTCATACCTCTCTTCTTCTTCCTCTTCCTACCTCGTCTCTCATAGATCAGCTTAAGTTAAGTTAGGTTAGGTTAGGTTAGGTTTACTCTATCGTCAAGGTTAGGTTAGGTTAGGTTAGGTTAGGTTAGGTTAGGTTAGGTTAGGTTTACTCTATCGTCAAGGTTAGGTTAGGTTAGGTTAGGTTAGGTTAGGTTAGGTTAGGTTAGGTTTACTCTATCGTCAAGGTAAACCTCTCACCTGGTCTACTAATTAACACCATGGTAACTCAACAGGTGTAAACAAACGAACCTGGTGATCTTAATTCCTATTGGTGATGACGTCATACCGTACCTCAGCAACCATTGCACATCATCAACAACTAAATCCAACCAAGAGCCTGATATGTGAGTGGGCTAGAGTGGGATGGAGTGGTCTGGAGTGGTCTGGAGTGGACTGGAGAAGGGTAAAGTTGGCTAAAGGGGGATGGAGTAAACTGGAGTGGTCTGGAGTGGACTGGAGTGGACTGGAGTGAAGTGGAGTTGATTGGAATGAAGTGGAGTGGACTGGAGTGGACTGGAGTGGACTGGAGTGGGCTGAGAAGGAGGAACAGGAAGCAGGGGAAAGTTAAAGTTACAAGACTTTGAGAGTTGGCTGGAGACACCGAGTTAACCCACTCAAGATGGCGGACACTGAGGAGGAGGAGGAGGAGGAGGAGGAGGTGATAGATGGTGGAGGAGGAGGAGAAAGAGGAGGAGGAGGAAGAGGAGGAAGAGGAGGAGGAGGTAGATGGAGAGAGGTGGTATGTGGAGGAAGAGGAGATAAATGAGTCCTCCTTCTCCTCCTCCTCTTCCTTCCCCTCCTCTTCTTCCTCATCATTACCCTCCTCCTCCTCCTCCTCCTCCTCCCCTTTTTCTTCCTCTTCTCCTCCTCCTCTTCACACAGGCTAAGGAAGGGTGGACGATCCAGTGAAAATAGAGGAACTTTAGTGAAAGATTTATTGACACATGCACTCTGGGGGCAGTGAGATAGTGAGAGTGGTGGAGGAGTGTTGGAGAGTGATGGGGGAGTGTTGAGAGGTTAGAGAGGGTGGGGGAGGTTTGAGAGTGTTGAGAGTAGTGGGGAATGTTGAGAGTGGTGGGGAGTGTTGGGGAGAGGTGGGGAGTGTTGGAGAGTGTTGGGGGAGTGGTGGGGGAGTGTTGGAGAGTGGTGGGAATGTTGAGAGTGGTGGGGAGGTTGGGAGAGGTGGGGTGT